TACACATCACTCAGGCGTTATGGTGCGTGGTGGTAATGGGAGTGGTTATAGGCTTATAGCAAGTATGTCGGCGAAGGGTCCAGCGAGTAGTACGATAAAATACATGTTTGCAATGGTGAGTTTTTCCGTCCTCTGCTTGTACCCGTCCACCCAACTACACTCCTACAGACTGTCGTGAAAACTGACGATGATGTTTACCTGTGGTAGTGTTGGTTTGCAGTTCCGGCGCTGGTATACCTGACCTAGGCACCCCGGTTTCAGAGGGCAAAAATGTTTGCGCACCCGTACTGGGCTGTTGGGGTTAATACTATATTCTCGGTGTGTTTGCTCTTACTTGTTTCCTCGTTTCTTACGCTCAAGGGGAAACTGACTGGAAGTAGATTCTCTGGTTCGCGGCCTTCGTTTCCGTCGCTAGCTACACTAACGGCGGGATCTCTAATGGAGAGGGGAAAGAGAAGGACGAAAAGATCAAGAAGGAGGGTGGATGTGCATTGTTTCCCGCCGGAACTGGTGAGGGCCCCAAAGCATGTAAGGTGAACCAAGCAGCCGTCGGACTCGGTGTGATTCTGTGGTATACACCCCCCCCTTTCACCCTACACGCCATTCATTCCTCTGTTCCATTCTTTCCTCATTAACTTGATGCAGGTTTTTCTAGCTTGGAACTACTGCGATCGCGGGCTATGTCGCTTGGTATTTCCGCCAACACAGCATCTCCCTATTCGAAGACCCGAGCCCGGCAGGACATGACATTGAGGAAACCACCAAGGATGCCTTTGGTTCTAACGACGAATATGCCCTCATTAATAAAGACCGCGTTGAGGACGACGGCGACAGCGGATTCTCCTCCCATCACGGACGTAGTGGAAGTGTGACCAGCTACGATACTGGTTACGATGCTCACCCCGGCAACCCTGTTCCTTGGGGCGGCGAAGGAAGCGCGTATAATGTAATCGGAGGACACGGACCAGTGGCAATGGGCGAGAATAGAAGAACCCCCTCGGGGCCAAGCATGCCCATCACTCCGGATGAGGATTATAGCTACAGGGGAGCAAAAGTGAAATAGGATGTTTTCTGCGTTTTCCTTGTCTTCCGGTATCCTTTTCCATTTTTTCCATTTCCTTTCCTAGCTAGGTTTTCCTTTTGACCCTAGTGCGGATGGGGTGGGTTATCTCCTTTTGCGTTTTATATATCCTTTTGCGGCATGGAACAATGGAAAATGGCCTTTCAGCTTGTATAACATTGAGTACAAACGGGGGATATCTTGCATTGGGTTCGCGGCCGATCTGAACATAGGATTTGATCAGATGAAGGAACTTGGGGAGGAGGAGGAAGAGGAAGTCATTGATATATAGCTATTAGCTTCCTAATCGGGGCTTCGTGCAGCCATTCCATATCACGGGTCACTGATGCCCACACCAACATCCATGCTTGCCCCAACTACCGCGGTACCCCGACCGATGCAGATTTCGTTCCGGCGGATGCTGTTGGCTTGGTTGTCGCAATCGTAACCGCGCACCTCGTACTCCTCATAATAGCCGTGTCCGCTCTCGTCCTCGTTGTCCGGATTGGGACGTGGTTGTGGTCTACTCTATCAGCTTCATTCAGCTCTACTACCCATTCAAAAGTATCCGGATGCCTTTCCCGCCAAGACATCCAAATTTATGCCTAAGTGTCCGAAAACGGGTAGCATGCTGGTGGGTGAACACGTCAATACATAATCCATGAGGGTAGTTTGTGCTTTCCTAATTAAATAACAATTTAAACCTTTATAGTGTGTATCCGCAAAATATACAGGTATCTGGATGGTATCGTATTATGCGATAAGAGATATCACACGGCCACCAATACCTTTGCTTAACCTAGGTTAACCGTCGAATCGTAACCCTCTGGCCCCGACCAACCTCCTAATCAATAGATCGGGCAGATTGCAGGAAACGCAACAACCTACCGTGATACCACGCTGCGCCAGGCTGTAGAAGTATTTCACTGGGAAGTCTCGGTGAATGTCAAGCGCGGCCCCTGTATTGAGCTCATGCAAGGCTATTCTATAAGAATCGAAGTTAGGTGATATGCAGGCTTTTCGGCTCTGATCGCGTGCCGCCGTGCGAGGGCGATAGCGCTGCTGTATCCCAAGGTCCGGCACCGCTAGAACCGCCTAAGACCTCGGGTAGACCACCCACCTTATTATCCTGGACCAGATAAATCGAACCCTGAATCCTCCAGACCGAGTGACCCTCTGTGATGCTACGGGACTATCGAGGTATTGACCTCCAGTAACTCCTCCGCTAGTAGCCAAACTCCTTCAACAGCTAGGCTATAGGCCACATTACCCCCTCTGAGATCCGGCGAATGGCCGCAAGCTCTGTTAGTATCCTCGGTCCCCCGTCGGCACCCTATGGAGTATGCCGGGGGGCCATCCCGGGTTTGGGGGAAGGGGAAGGAAGCCATTGGTGACCTGCTGGTGATGCTTGAACGGATTGTGCATCCTCGCCGGTCTACGAAATCTAATTATTAGGATATGAACGTGACCAAACTGCGCTCCCGGGAGATTAAAGACCGGGAGAGCCAGAGCACGGTGAAGCAAAATATGAGAGTGAATAACAGATATTGCGGATCTTTCTGAAGGCGTTGCGGAGCAAAGGGACACGTTCAATAGCTTGAGCAACGAAATACGGCGCGGATACGGGTGGCGATAGGACGGTGGCGGTTGGATATGAGATACGACGATCGCACAACAACCTTTAGGTGAGGGAGGAAGATACCAGTATCTGTTTCGCACTTGGCTAACTGACGGAAAGGACAGGAGTATATAAGAAACCAAATATCACTCCCCTGGTCCTTCCACCATTCACTACACATATCCATCCTCCTCCACACATGTCTCCCTCTCCATCCCGTACTCCCAAGCTAACAGAAAGACCCTCTCAAGGAATTCTCACTGCTCCCTATCCCTCACGCATCTGCCAATTCAAGCCTGTTCCCTTCCGATGGTTTCCATGCTTTCCAGCGACAAACAACGACACCGGATAACAATGACCTCTTTCCCATGCTCGTAGCTTCCACTGGAGGCTCGTACTTTCCAACGACGATAACCTTCTTCCGACGGCTGCAGGTGATGGCCTTCCAACGGCTATGGGTAAGGATGCCAGAGAGCGACGGCGGAAAACGATAACAATAGCAACGGCAAGCATACCCAGCAGCTATGACCTCCAACATTAGCATGGGAATACGAAAGCGGAAAGAGACACCTGATAGACAATGGATATGTGTAGTAATAGTGGGAAGGATGTCACGCTTTCAGTTACCCTTCCCTTCAGGGTAACTAGGACTACCCGTTGTCTAACCTAAAAACTCAAGTACCCAAGTACCTTTGCTCATGGTGCAACCCTGACCATCGGGTATCCAACAGGTCTGCGATCATGCATTCCCGCCTGTCTCTTTCAACCTCTTGGTCCCATATATGGATGGATCCAGGTTGCCATAGCTCACATATGTAGGGTCGTTACAAGGGTAGAAGCTGGTATTTTCACTAACCCTGATATTTCTGCAAAAGTTGTCCCCACCTCCCTCATGCCTACAGCTCTCCAATGTGTAGACTCAGGCCATTCCTTTCTTCCAACTTTTTTCTGATATCTTGTCATCTTGGTTGTGGTATGGGGTGGTGCCATGGTTGAGATTGCAGTTCTTTTTTTTTTTTGTGCGATCGGTCGCGTCGTCAACGATGACTTTTGGTGGGCAAGAACTATCAACTCTATCGCCAGGGTAGGCGCCCGGTCGCAAATAGCCTCATTACTGTACGGGTACTGGCGGCATAGCTCGCCCGCACTTCCTCCCATGCCATTGGTTCCTGGCGATTACCCAGGGAAAGTTCGTTATATCATAGTTCGATTGCTTGTTTTGTGCCCTAACCCTCTACCACGAATAGAAGACAAGGAGTGAGCGAATATAAGACAAGGAGTGAGCGAATAGAAGACAAGGAGTGAGCGGTGAGTACGGTACAGGTATTACCAGTATTACCGGTACCGTGCTGATACCGGATTGCTGTTGAGCGGATTTTGGACACGAGTGTTTGCATTCTCCTGCTACCCATGCAAGCACTATGCTTTCGCATCTTACATGCAGTGCGTCCTGAAGCACTGGCATTCTATCCATAGCATTCATCAGCGGTGGAGGGTTGACCCGGGGAAAATAGCATTAGTCGCACCCCACAGAGCTCAATTCGTACTGTAAAGTACCGCCGGTGCCTTACCCCCACTCGAGTCGCCAATCACATTCAGCTGAAAGGTGCATGCGCTGCTCCCGCTATTGCGACGCTCCAAACAAGACGGGTGGAAATCCGAATCGTGTCGGGAGGCCGGAGGTATAATAAGTTACCGTACGGTATTTTCTGCGGGGGTTGCATGTCGGGAACACAGACAGGCACCGGAATCCTCAGAATACTCGAACGCAGCTCTCAACCCAGGTTTGTTCGGCAGGGTCTACTCGAGTACCGCATTGTGGTGTCACCCCGTTGGCCCTGGTGGTGGGGTGTCCTGTGCATCTTCACAGTCAACCGGTAGACTACTAATCTTTGCCCCATGACTTTCCGACATTCCCACCCTGACTCAGCCTCGGCTGCATCTTGCCGGTTTTATTGGACCGCACTTAGGGGGCGAGTGATGTCGCAGGGGGGAGGAAGAAGACAAAGGCCGTTGTCCAGCTGAGCAGCTGAGATGAATGAAGTCCGAGATGACCTTCTTTTTGTCGCTACACCTTCAGTATCACACCGGTATGATACCTCATTTAACGAATCATACCGGTAGGGCTTGATGGCCCTTGCATCACTAACACTCCGAGACTGCCTATCATACGTCATCCGCCCCGCCCTTGGGAACTGGGGCTAAAAGCGAAAGGATTCACCTGTTTCCCCTCTTCTCCTTAATTTCCTCATCCTCTTTCAATTCAAGTCTTGCGCCTCTCCCCCATAATTGGTCTGTCGAAATCGTGTTTCCGAGGGAAATATGGGGAAATCCAACAAATATCGTCCCAGTTCACGCTCACCCGAGCGCCGCGGCGGCGACGGCGACCGCTATGAAAAACACCACAAGAAGAGGTACGACGACGGGTCGGGTGAAGAGTATTCTGGCGATGGGGGGCCAAGCAGAGTGAAGGATGATGAATATTACCGCGAGAAGGAACGCAGAAAGCGTGAGAAGGAAGAGAGGAAGGAGAGGAAGCGCAGAGAAAAGGAAAAAGAAAAGAGCGGGGAATACGGTAGCCCTGGGCGCCGTCGGAGTCGTGAACGGAGCCGTGAGCGCAGCCATGAGCGACACCGCGAGGAAGAGGGAACGAGGGGATATGGCAGTTATGTGCACCCCCCAGCTGACCCATACGGATACGCGACGCAAGGGCAAAACTATCAACCTCCGCCACCTCACGGGGAGCATTATGGTGCCCAACCCGGTCACGGATACCAAGCCCCGCCACATGAGAGCGGATACACAACGACGGGCCCCGGGTACCCGGATTGCCAACCGTCCCCATATGGGCCCGGCGCCTACACCTCGGGCGGGTATCAGCCTCCGCCGCCTGTGCAGGGCCACCCACAGCCCCCCCCAGGCTATGGGGGGTTTCAAGGGCCACCGGAATCTCCTAATTATGCGACGGGAGGCTTCCAGGGTTATCCCCCTCCTCCTGGCCCACCCCCCACTTCGCAACAGTACGGGGAATATGGCGGAGCAAGCGCATCCTATAGCTATCCCCCTCCCTCCTCCTCCTCCCCCGCAACAAGAATATGGAGGATACGGACAGGGGGGGGATGGGCAATCGCAGCATCCAGTGCCCCCGAGTCACCCCGCAGCTTCACAGGGCTACTCAGCATATGCATCACCGCCTCCACCGCCACAGGTTACCGCGGGTGGAGCTACCGGAGGCCAGCACTACAAACCTCAGCACCATTCCGCTCAACAGCAGCAGGCGTACTACGGGCATGACTTGGGATCAGTCGGCCACCCAACTGGTGGCTCAACCGCCGTTCAATTTGAGAATACTAACCCCGCCAATCCTCACTCCAAGCCTTCTACCGGGTCCGGGGGCTTTGCAGTTTCTGCGCTCGAGACCTTTACCGGTGCGCTCACTAGTTCACTGCATTCGTACGCCCGTACTCTTTTCCCGGCCACAAGTGCCCACAAGCCTGTCGCCCAGTACGGTGCCCCGGGCGAGAGCGGAGTCCCGGCTCAGCAGACGGAGAACAGGTTTGACTCGTTTTCCCGGGAAAAGACGGGTAACGGAGTAAAGTGGTATGTTGATGGAAAAGATTATATGTATGCTGTAAGCATTGCGATAGAGAATGCCCGCCAGAGCATCTGGATTCTAGACTGTGCGTTCCCGGGCTCACCCCAATTGCTTTCTGCCAGAGGCTAACCCGATATCTTACCATTAGGGTGGTTAAGCCCTGAGCTCTACCTCCGCCGGCCTCCCAAGCTGAATGAACAATATCGGATTGATGCGATGCTCAAGGCTGCAGCGGAACGCGGGGTTAAGGTTAATGTTATCGTGTACAAGGAGGTTACTCAGGCCCTAACGCGTAAGTACCTAAACCCACTCCTTTTCCAACATGTCTCAAACCGTTCTCCCCCAAACACACTCCCGAAACCATTATCAATTCTTTCCTCCCTTGCCTCAGATGTCGCTCTCCTCTTTTCCTTTGATCGCCTAGAGACTTTAGAAGCTAAATACCCTGTTCTGCATTCCCGTGAGGCCGGCGGTGTCATTACAGTTAGTTCGCATCACACTAAAACTTCACTTGAGAAACTTCACCCCAATATCACTGTATTTAGGCATCCTGACCATCTTCCGGATAGGCCCACCATTCAAAATGACATTTGGAATAAGGTGACTACAGGGACCTATCAGTTAGGAGATGGATTGAAGGGATTGTACGGCATGAAGGATGGCGTGACTATGTATTGGGCACATCATGAGAAGCTATGCCTCGTCGACGGAGAAATTGCATTTATGGGCGGACTGGATTTGTGCTTTGGTCGTTGGGATATGAACCATCACCCAATCGCTGATGCGCACCCTGGCGATCTCAGGGCAATTATCTTCCCAGGGCAGGATTACAACAACTCTAGGTGAGCAATCTTTGATCGATAACTGATGATCGCATACCAACCTGTGTTCAACAAAGGTTTATGGATTTCCACACCGTCGACCATTGGGAACAGAACAAGGTCAAGCGCGAAGAACACTCTAGGATGGGGTGGTCTGATGTTGCACTATCCCTAATTGGTCCTTCTGTCAGGGACCTCCAGAGACATTTCCTTGTGCGCTGGAATTTCATATACGATACTAAATACAAAGTGAGGAAACAAGAGAGATTTCAGCCGCTCGATGACCGCATACTACACGAGAGAGGGCACTACCGACACAAGATAAAAGACAAAGTTCATCATGTCGGAAAGAAGTTACTTGAGGGGGATGATTACGGCTACGACGAACCCCGCGGGAGTTATGAGGATGAAAGAGCATACAGCGAAAGGAGACGTAACGAAGTGGAGGGTGTACGCTGTCAGATTGTCAGAAGCTCTTCTAAATGGAGTCAGGGACTCCCCGCAACAGAGGTGAGTCTCAGGGCCTTGTTCCTGGCGGACTTGTTTCTTAACATATCACAACCTAGCACTCGATTGCGCATGCATATATCGAGATAATAAGCACGGCAAAGCACTTTATTTACATCGAAAACCAATTCTTCATCACTGCCACGGATGAAAAGCAGAACCCCATCCTCAATAAGATTGGTCGTGCGATTGTCGATCGAATTCTCCGTGCCGATCGAGAGCGCCAGAAGTTCAAAATGATAATCGTCATCCCCGCAATCCCGGCCTTTGCCGGTGATCTCAAGGATGAGGGTAGCCTTGGAACCCGAGCAATCATGGAATTCCAATATCGGTCTATCAACAACGACAGAGGTTACTCGATAATGGAGCAAATCGCGAAAGCCGGTGTCGATCCCAAGAAATATATCAGATTCTACAATCTGAGGAACTATGACCGTATCAACGCCGGCCGTGCAATGGCCGCGGGCGAGGCAAGTTCTGGCGTAAGTTACCCTGCTGCGGCAGAAGCCCACGACCAGCAAGTCGGCGGGACCTACGGAGCTTACGGGTACGGTGGTATCCATGGCGACGAATATAACAGATACCAGCAATCCACTCCGCGCTCCTCCGTCGGCCCTGAGTGGGATTCGGTCTCCCAATGCTCTATGCTCGGGGGCGGTGACATCCGCTCAGCGCCTTGGGACGGCGATGCCCAGCAAGAACTCGACGCCTTTGTTTCCGAGGAACTTTATGTGCACTCCAAGCTCCTAATAGCCGACGACAGGATTGTGATCTGCGGGTCCGCAAACTTGAACGACAGATCCCAACTCGGCGACCATGACAGCGAGATAGCGATTATAATCGAAGACCCCACGCCCCTCCCATCGCTTATGGGCAACAATCCCTATACAGCCTCACACTTCGCCGCAACCCTCCGCCGCCAAATCTTCCGAAAACACCTCGGCTTGATCCCCGCTGCGAACCTCACAACCGTGGACGAGAATATGCACCCGGTCCCCATACCGAACATCTATGACTTTGACTCGCAGGAGGACACGATAGTGAGAGACCCACTCTCGGAAACCTTCGAGAACTTTTGGGATTACACTGCGCGCACCAACACCGTTGCTTTCGAGAAGGTCTTCCACGCTGTGCCCACGGATAAAGTCGCGAATTGGAAGGACTACGACGAGTACTGGGGCAAGCACTTCCGTGTCCCGCCCGGCGAGAATCAGCAGCCCAAGATCAAGTGGGGACACGTCGTCCGGGATGAGTTCAACCCCGATCCGAGAATTGCGGTTGGTGAGATTAAGAATGTGCTTGCGACGGTTCGCGGACACCTTGTGGAGATGCCGTTGGGGTTTTTGAGGGAGGAGGATATTGCCAAGGAAGGGTTGGGGTGTAAGTTTCTTCCCCTCCATTGTTTGCGATTGGAAGTGTGCGCGTACTAATATATGCTTGGGGGTTCAGTAAATGCGATTACAGAGAGTCTTTATACCTAAAGTGCCTTGTGTTTATGGTCGGGGAAGGGAGACGGATATATGTGTTCCGGATTAGTTTTCGTTCATCCAACTCACTGTTATCGTTCCTCTCATAGGGGTTTGTTGCCCCTCCCGCGAAAGTGTGATAATCCGTGATTAGTCAGCGCCATGGAGGATATCCCAATAACCCCATCACGCAATACCCAAAGTACTAGTACAGTATGATACAACATGACCTCCACCCCCGGAGCTCCCAAAAAGGCTATGATATCACATTCGGGCATCAAGAAGCACGCATCCCATAACACCATACGATACGAAACCCAGCACCTCTACCCTTCCTTCCACAACCCCACGCCCAACCAGTCCCATCCAAACCCTCCTCACATTCCCCATCCCCAATACTACACTATGAAACCCACCCAACTTTAACCCCCCACACACACAAAACTCCGAAAACCACCTACACATCCATCATACCCCTTGAGAGCAGCCTACATACATACATATACACTTTCGCCACACAAGCCCGGAAAATCAGATGGAATCGCGGACTAGAGTATGATATCGTACAGTATATTCGTATATTATATTATAATAAGTACATCGTCCAGTCTAGTAGGTATAGCCATAGCATAGCAGTCTCTCGAGATGTAACTCTCCACAACATTTTCCCGTTCCTTCTCCCGTCTCATTTTTCTTTTCCCCCCTCTCTTTCACTTGTTCTTGGTGCGGTAGGCTACTCCGTTGTTTGTCGTTTATTGTATTGTGGGTGATTGCGCTTAAAGTGTGATTCTCAAGTATGTGGGGCACTGTTACGGGCTGGGTCGTGGGTGGGTGGGTATAAAGTGCTGATGGGAGGTAGTCTTATAGAGATTTACAGTTTGGATGCTGGCTGTTGAGTTTGGTAAATTTTATCGTATTGATGAGAGGAGGGTGGGGGTATTGGGATCGTTGGAAGAGGTATCCTGAGGTGATTCGAGTGACTGTGTTGTTCTTCATCTTCGATAGTGCTCTACCATTCTGGACCCTTTGTGCGGTATTGTCGAGCAGATACGAGTGGATACGCAATTTTCCAAAGCCTGAATGCGACCAACTAACACGGAAAAGGGCTCGAATAAAATAAAATAAAAAGGAGAAAAACAAGAAGGGAGAAAAGAATAGCGTGCAGTTATGTAGCTTTCGGGTATCAAATAGGAAACCTCCGGTCAAGAGGGAATGTAAAAAAAAAAAATCCAGTTGAAGATGAGATGGTCCAAAATCGGATAGTGTCAGAAGCCAGTTCCATACCCCATTTTGCGCCATCACGCCAGCGGGTTCAATGGCTTTCTTCCAACCAAATTATACCGAAGGGTATAGAACAGGCTGTTGTTGTCTCGGAAGTGCTCGCAGACCTGGTCGAAAAACCCGGCTGTATCAGATGGCGCCCATCCGAGGACGCGAGTGAATAGGGCAGTGCCGTAGGCCGATACGCCCTCAAGATGTGCGATCTGGGTGTACGTGCCGATTTGCGAAAGCAGTTTCTGCCCAAATTAGTATCCGGAACAACTTCGGAACGACCAAAAGTAAACAAATTACATCTTTGGGCCATGTTCCGACTGGGAGTTTGTCAACTCTCTGGTTCGCGTCAGCGATGCCGAATTCCAAACTAGAGAACATTGTAATGCAAACCTCCTCGACATCCTGGAATCCAGCGGCTTCCATCTTTGCCCTAAAATCTTCGACCCCAATCATTGGCCTTCCAGACTTGTTTCCGGATTCTCGAAGCAATTCGAAAAACTTGGTCACATTTTCCGGACACGGTCCACTCTGAGAATCTAGAAACTCATTCAGGTCAGATACAAACTTCCAAGGTGCTGCCCGGCGGCTTGTAATTCTGGTATCAGATACCAGCAATCACTTCCAGAACACGGGCATACCCTGCTATTTAGGGGCGCGCACATAATTCTAAGACCCCCTCCTTTACTTCAAGGTATCCGCCGGGCTTGATATGCCTGCTACTGTGTTAATTTCACTCACAGCCAGCATTGCTAATGGCCAACATTACCGGAACATCCGACAAAAATGCTCATCCCAATTCTTAATTGAGCCCAGCATATATCGGTTGTGAACTAGGTCAAAGGTGTTTTCAGGGTGAACCCACTCGCTTTCAACATCCTAGCGTTCTGGGTTAGAAAAAGAAAGGAAAAAAACAACCCCGGCCGCTACGTCTAGGAACGTTAAATTACATCGACCTCGAATCTGCAATTAGGAGGAACCCATGAAGGCTGTATGGGGGAGAGGTCATTCCCAATAACCTGCTCTGATTAGCAATACGAGCTCATCCACCTTGACTGGTAGGTCTTACGAGTGCCGTGGGATAACGGCTATCGTGCGAAAGGTCATCAGCCATGAGTTTTGAGAGTATCTCATTCGGGTCATCTTACACTGCGGCATCGATGGCCCAGATGCCTGGTTGTTTCCAAGTGAATAATCCATAAGCAAAAGAAACGCGTGGGAATGAGGGCGGGCGGGAGACTCACCGGTTCCGGTGCCCACATCAAGTATTTTTCGTGGCCCGTCCAGAGGCGCCCGGGTGAGCTCGCCCCCCAAGATCAAGTTCTCGATCTGTAAGGAAAATACCGGCACGGCAGGCTCGGTTAGCGATGCTCCACTCTGCCACATGTGCACAAGTGTTTGAAGTGATTCTCACGTGGTGCCAAATATCCAGTCTGCATTGTATAACTGAGTCAAGACCTGCTCATCCAAATCTGAGAAGGTGGATTGGTGACACGCACCTCTCTTGTTCCAAGCTATCATTCGGAAGCACCTATCGAAGAGATGGTCAACCGTTAGATTTATCCACGGTATCAGGAGCAGGTCTTGGCGGGGCTCAAGAACGAACATAGGATCCCTGAAATCAGGACGAGTTAGACTAGCTGTCCACCCCACCACATCGCATCAAACGCTGCACTCTCACCTCTCTGAAAGAGTGATAACGCCTCCCGTTCTCGTATCTGACACCGCAAGTCAAAAATCAATCATAAAGCAAGCGAGGAGAAAGAAGCGAAAAATAAAAAAAAGACAGAAGAGACAAAGACAAATAATACTCTTAATCCTCATCGATGAATGGGAGCGTATTGCTCTTTCGACGGGAGCGCATCACATCACCAAGCAAAAGGCCTCCTGCTCGCCTGGGGAAAAATGGAGGGAAATAATGATAGAGACCCACTCATAATCCAAGATTCCGGAGGAGAGACTACTAGAATCGGACTCTGTTGAGTGTGCTGAGGTTGAAGCATCATCATCGTCGCAAAGCTGCACACAAGGTCACACCGTCGACGTCAGTACCGTGCCGGTACTCGAGTAATCCCACTCGCATGCCGTTACCACACAACCCCGGGGCTGGGAGCCAAGCACGGCACTCACTTCAACCTCAACACTTCCGCGGGGATGAACTCCAGCCAGCATCGAGCGCGGGTTATCCGTATTGGAGGATGCTAATCCAGTGGCCATCCTTAATCGAATTGAACTGGTGAGATATAATTCGATACACTCGAGTACTCCCCTGCCGAAAGGTTAGCTGTACCGTAGGGTGGAAGAGAAGAAGGCGTGGAGAAGTGAGAGAGACAAGCTCAACTTAAGAAGGTAACAAATTTAACTTCCGAGAGGACGGACGACGATACCGGTAAGTGTATGGAATATCCCCTACCTATCTTCCTCCATTCTCAGGATGGGCCTCGATTGCCTTGTGACTGCATCGTCGCCCGCCGGTGTTCTGCATCGCTTAACGCGCCAGTTTTCGCGGACGATGTCAAGTGCAGAATACCGGCAACAGTCACAAGTGAATGTACGGTATTCGTACTCGTACTATCTCTACTCGGGGACCGATACGCCATCCACAAGCCCCCTTTCCACCACATTCCTGACCCCGCTTTTCGCCCTCCATCGAGACAGGCCGGAATGGGGCCCGACACCTCAAACACGCACAAAAACCTCACCTTCCAACCCGGCACACCGAAGGTGGAGCCCCACAAGTGTGTCGGAATGGCCTCCTCGCGGGATGAAACAGCATGGCTAGCGCCCTACTGCTCACCGGCACTATCCCATCCCGAAGGCCTCTACCGAAAAACGGAGAGCACGCTAAATCAGCAAGTGAGCACCAACTGTCGAGTACAGTACAGTGCTCGAGCAGCGCAGTGGAGTCATAATTAAAGCCCTACTTTCATCCGAGAATGGTACAAGTACAAGTACTCGAGCACCGTACTAGTACTGTACAGGCATTCACCGGGGTTCCGATCAAAACATGAGCTCACTTTGATCGCTCATTTTGGGCCTCACCGGTCTGCGTCTTTGGATTTCTTTCTTTTTGTTGATTTGCTTTTGGGCGTCAGCGGTACATGCCAGGGATCCTTCCCGCATACAACGCTTGTAACCTACTGTAGAGGGCGCTCGTCATGTGCCTAAATGAAACAAAAAGGAAGAGAAAAGTTATCCAAGCAATGGAGGAAGGGTTCGTGATCTTACCCAGGAGTACCGTACCGCAGTCATCGGGGCACTTTGTCAGCAACAAGTCTTGCGAGGGCACCCGTGTACCGTACCGTGCTCGTACACTGCACCTTACTGTAGACTAAGTTAATTGAGCTCCGGACGCCCAACCGATGGAAGTCTCTATACAAAGTATCAATTTGATATTTAATATACCACCTTTTTGCCCTTATAATCGCCTCAATCCTCCTAAAAATACCTTCTACCAACCTTCCAAATACCCGTAGATGGTCCGGTATTAGCTCCCAATAATGAATAAGTACTATCACGCTTCTGTGCATATTCTACCAGTACCTTCCCCACCGACCTAGTACCCGTGGCTAAATCAGAATATTGTCCATATTAAAGCTTCTTGAGATGTACCGGTACTCAAACATGCTCGATCAGTGCGAGATATGATAAATATTATCTGATCCTTTAAACCCTCCACATATTTTCCTCCAACCATGTTATAAAGATGTAGCGTTACCCTGCATGAAGATTGGACTGATATTCTTTCTCCTCTGATCCCTTTAAAATTCAAAGTACTGGTAAAGAGATCCGAGTCTAGAAGAGGAGCCAAAGCTCCGCCGAAAATGCCAACCATCCGAAGGCGGACTTGGTTGCGATTCTAAGGATATTTTTGAAATACAGTATTGCGGCAGGATAGATGATAGCCGACGGAGTAAGCCCTAACCTGGCATACCGGTAGGCTTTCATAGAATTCGAGGATCGCTGGCAGGAAAGAGTGGTTACCATACTCATTGTAGTTAGATTTTGCACTGGTCATTTGTTTACATCTTGGCATTTCTTGCAGGGATAACTTCCACTCCTATGATACCACCAGCCGCGGGTGGTAGGGATGTTAGTTTAGTGATCCCTACCAATCATGCCAAGTGGAAGTGCTTGGCATTTTACTGTTGCTGGGGTTACCGGATTTTTCTACAGGGATAATCTGTTCTGCCGGATCCCTTTACCTGGTTATTGAGATCACGACCACCCCCTCCATCCCTTCCGGCAAGGTCATCCCAAGTCATGACTGTGAGGAGGGGGGGAGGGGGGAATACCGCTGTACCATCTTGTTCTCGATTTACGACGGCCCTTCCTGCTACCGGTGTTGTTACGGTACGGTACTGATACATCTACGGTAAAACTTTTCCGTTCCCATTTGTCCAACCCGGTGCACTACCAGCACGAGATACGGGTATGATATCCGGCGAAACGCGGTTCATTGGACTGTGGAGGAGGGAAGGTGTGGAACCACCTCTTGAATGGATAGATGGTCAGTACAAGTAACGCTGAGCTGTACGAGTACCGTACTCGAGTACTAGCACTTACACATGGTTGACCGCGGTCTCGCGCAAATAGGGGAATACAAGCAGCATGATTCCGTCCCGCTTTTCCGATGGGTTACGGAAGCTCATGGACCGTCAATAACGCTAACTCCCCCGGCCGAATTGAGGCCGGACGCTCTATGGCCCTTCCCACCCTAGGAGCCCGACCTCAACTCGGCCGGGGGAGCGGTAGCCCTAGCGAGTACGGTACGTGTACTCGAGTACAAGTACTCATGCCTCTTCGCTAAGGACGCCTTTGCCCGACAATAGTTTTGCCGGAGCCCTCGCCGAATACCGGTATTTGGCTTGCCAAGCCGTTCCAGGCAACGACGCATGAAAACGGAAAGCCTTCCCCTTGCCATGCCGTGTCTGCCCAAACCCGGGTTCTGGTAAAATTGCACTAGCATTGCACGTGCGGCCTGTCCGCCGTCTTTGTTGTGTATGACGAGGCAGACTACCGTGGTAACCGGTACGGTAACTTACTGTCTGGCATATATCACAATTGGCTGAGGTATCATACGGGTGGTTTACAACCAAAAGTGCTAGGACTACTTATCCTATACGGTATTCCGTCGGGCACTGCGTCCAAGAGATCTGGTTGCTCAAAGAAATTAAAAGAGACTAGAAGGTATCCTTTTCACATCCGCAATTAGAAATAAATTCCTAAGGTTTCGAACCGGAATCCATTCCACCAATTGCTTAGACGCTCCGGCGAAATAAGGGATAGAACGCAGATACCGTAGTCGGTATTGGCCATGTAACGGTACTGTTTATTAAGCCAATTTTTTTTTCCCTACAGCACTTATGAATAAGCAGGCCCTCTCGACGCATTACCGGAGTTTTGAGAGGGGATCGCACAGATCACAGCACAGTACCAGGTCCATTACCCAACTCATTTCTCGGGGAGCTCAATTCATGAGGCACAAGGCACAAAACTCAGTAGAAACAGCGTGTCCCGCATGACCGTTATGCTAGTACTCGAGTAATGAATGTGCAGGAACTGTGCCTACTCGTATCTTCTGACGTTTGTGAACTCTGCTGCTATTACATACGGACAAAAAATGGGCCAGAGCCTCAAGATTGTGGTGGTATGCAATAAGTTAGCAGTTCAGTTCACAAGGGTCAGAAAATTACGAGCCCTGCAAAGTGTTTTTGCTTTTCTCCCCCAGGTATCCTTGTTTGCACATGGGGTGGGGCTGTATGGTACCTGGGAGGTGTTAACGTTCCGGTGTATCATAGTGATTGAGTACTCTGAGTGCCGTACCCCATTGTGTACCATTTCCACTGTGCTCGAGTACTCGAACCCTCAATCATGGCCTAGAGTGGGCATCGAGCGACTCACGCGCGCTACCTGCAGTCAGTCTGAGGATGGTGTACGCAGACTGAGAACCTATTTTACGTACGAGCACTGCGCACAGCAGTCGCGCAGCCCGACTCGTATCCTGAAATGGCACCCCTTGTACTTGTAGAAAGGGACGTCAGAAAAACCCCGGCGACACGTGTGCCCCACGAAACCCGCAGAGGCCCTGGACCGAACCAGGGAGCCGGGAGACTCTGTGATGAATTGGCCGTACTGGAATCCTCCGGGTCCGGAAATAGCTCTCTACGGTGCTTGCACATATTCCCAGATGGAGCATATCCGAAGAAGCCTAACTTATTCCCACTGTCGACCAAAAGTGAAGCACACAATCAGGCGGTTCTTCGAAGGGAGCGCCGGTTTACCCGATTGGTCAATATGGCACGGCAGCCAATCACTGGCCGCGAGGCTCTCAGACCAGAGCTCAATAACCAGGAAGCTTAAGGAAGCTTAAGCTAAGTGTGGTCGGGCAATTCCCCGCCCCCTTTGACCTACTTTAGTCAAATGTTCCCCATAAATCAAGCAGTCATTTTTACAGCTCTTCAGATCCGCAATACTCGTACCATAATCGGATACCGGTACCGGTATTGGATGTGCCTGGGTCTCGGGGGTATTTTCCGGACCCCGGGTCTATCGCCAGAGTAAGCTCACTGTAGGCTCTCCACGTGTTCCCACTTTTCCGATTGCGAGAACCGGCCACGGGAGTTCCCGGGCAGCCGACACAACTACGGTACTCCTACTGTGCCCGAGTACCGGTGCCGCAGCGGACGCAGACCCCTCTTTGTGGGATACCGAGAACTTTGACGAAAGACTCTGATGTTTGCTAAATTAGGGGAGAGGATTATGTCCCGGATGAATGGCCAAGGATTCTCCATCGTTTCTCCATTCCACTTAATACGGCATTGGTCTTGGGGCTCGGAGTGTTCCTTAAGCACTGCATCCCTAGGAAAATTCTTACTCCGATGAAGTAGGCAAATGGACACCCCCTTTGGTGGTGTTTGACATGAAGAGATTTGTTCGGTTATGGTCCCCGTTGTCCCGGGGCCGGGGGCAACATGTACCTACATCTGAGCGATGCCGCCCCATATCAACAGGATTTGAGAACTCCTTCATGGACGCAAGAGAGCAAACTTCCCAGAGATCGTGAAAGAGGACAAATCAAAAAAAAAAAGAAAAAAAAGAAAAAAGAAGCTCGGGTGATAATTCACAGGACTGGAAAATCTGCAGGCACATTTTGTCTGGCTTCCCCGTTGGAGCAATTTTTTACGAATTTGGTCCCTATATTAGAGACATTATTTCGCAAAACCGCCAGAAAAAGTGTCCCGGTTTCTAGAGCGCCAAGGTTTACCCGGCGAACAAATTCTGAGGGTAGCTTTGATCTTCGTTCTGAATGTACTGTATCATACTCGAGTAATGTTCCTTTCCCGTGTGGAACGTTTGAGGCCTCGCACAGCTTCTAGGCCGCATGGAACAGGATTTCGCTTGGTCTCTTAAGATACCATGAAAAACTAAGGGGTTCTGGTGGCCGAATTAAAGAGGTTATTGAGGAGAAGTACTTCTATCCCAGTTTGGGGTTTAGATATCGATTGTTTGCCACGGTGCGAAGGGATATCTTGATCAAGTTATACGAGTATAGCAATGGGCTGGGGGGAAAAAAAAAGCTAAATGTGCTCCTACAATCATTCATCACATATCTCATGATTCCTTCCCAATCCCAAATCTACTATTTGCGATCGAGTTACCCTATCCAAAATTCCCCAGAAATCAGTGTTCCGGTCCCTCTAGGATATCCACATCCTTAGAATCGAGAATATGGTAACCTGAAATATGGTCAGCAGAGTCATCACAGCCCAAGTGGAGGAATCTCACCATTTACCCCTAAGGGTAATGACTGCCCATTCAACCCCCTTGTCGTCGGTTTCCTTCTCCACCTTTGTTGAGAAAGCGATAGCGCTCATAATTCCGTCACCAAACTTCTCATTCAGAACCGCCTTGTACGCCAATCCGTAGTTTTGGATAATCTCGTAGAGGCGGTAGATCAATGGCTCCCTCGCTAGACATCAAATTTTCCATCAGCTTCAAAACGTGCCCAGCGTGAGATTCACCGCGCTTACGAGGCATGTCGAGTGTTCTCCCCCGATCAGGAAACCCCCCCAAATCATTTGCGACTACCACTTCGTTCAATTCCAACACTTCAGCCAGTTTCTTGATGTCATCCGGAGAGGCTTGGGCTTGGCCGTAAAAGATGGCAGCGACAGCAACCTCGTCGCGCCCCAGGAGCTCGCCGAGTTTTTCAAAGCTCAGTCCTTTGGCCCCTTTCTGCTTAAAGAGAATATCGGTTACCGGTGGAAGGTTCTGATTGGTCTCCTATCCAGTTATTAACATAATCACCCCCCGAACGAAGAGGATAGCAGTGCCGAGTTCTTACGGTAGAAGACATGGCGCCTGACTGCTTGTTCTCAGGGCTCTGAGTTTAACGGAGGCGATAAAGTTTTTTGCTTTCTGGATGACTGTGGAGAAAGCTATTGTTTTTACCTTGATACCAGCAGCAAACTGTGGGAAAATTTTCGGAAGAGAAGAAACGCGATGAAAGGAACACCAAAAGCGGGGCCGGCGCGGATGGGAGATCACAGGATGACGTCATCGGGGAGGGGCGGGACCTTGGGGGTCTGTCAACACAATTGACTGTTTTGGCCCTCATAACGACCATACTTATCGAAATGGGGCAAAACATCGCGAACCTTAGAGAAGTGGTCTCGGGGATGGGATAGGAGCATCGTGTGCAAGCGCTATCGTGTTACGGCCATCGGGTGCACGATCTGGTAGATTAATCCAGGTGGTGGGTCCGGTGGGATTGTGGTGTCGAAAGGGAATTTCTATCCTAAAATCCTCAATGTAAGTAACTTAATATATCTTCGCTTTCCAGATCCACTAAATCATCTAGACTGCCTGTCTGTGGGTACTCACACGTTAACTCAGCGCGCAATTCCCGCAAGTGTACCAGGTGCCTTATTCGCCCCGAGGCACCAACCGCTGGGAGACACTTTCGAATCCCACCTGTATCCAGTTGGATCATATTTGGGAGTGCTGTGGGAGCTCTTTTCCCTCCAAGGGCTTTATGAGCGGTTTTTAAAGTTGCTATCACCAAGGATCACTCGGCGAGGCACGCCAACTCTGTGTGATATTCGACTACCAAACCTTTAATCGGGAGTTTGTATGCCTGGGTGATTCAATATCTATCTTTGGATTTTCTAGGGTCCGGCCCAGGCACCCTCGCCCAACTAGTGTCCTAACAGTAGAAGCAAATCTCGAACGGGGAAGACACTGTACCTGTGCTTGGGTTAGCGTACGCCATATCCCACCACTCGTAGCTGTCATCCCCATCATGATAGTGAATAATGACCCCATTGGGCCTGAAGCACGAGTATACCACACACACTCCAACACAAACAACCGTCAACTTTCCCCAGCCAGCAACCTGATACCCCCTTCCTGAGCCGGCCCCCGGACTCCGCCCGATATCCACCGCCATCACTGCCGAGCGTTATTACTATCAACTTCACTTATCAGCCTAATCCTCTAATCTTCCAAAAAAGTACCCGGAATCATTGACTGTTTACTCTTCCTGATAAACTCTGGGGTGAGCACAACCTTCTCTCAGAGGAACCCATAACTACTTGAGCCCCTCGCTCAAACCCGGTACGGCAAGCGAGCTATCCCGTTTCGACCCTTGAAGCCGTTTATGGAGGAACCCTCGACGCCAAGGGCTGGTTCCATCCCAAGCTTTTATTTGCCCTGACTGAAGCAGTTATTGGAGATGATGCAAAAGCAGCCATCGCGTACCGGTAGGGTTCGTAGGAAGTCAATCAACCTAAGACACGAAGTGGGACCATTCAGTTCCAGGCTCCGGGTGCCTCGGGGTGACATCTAGAACTACCCCCCACTGGGAAAGAGCGGACGACTACCCGCGGTGAATTTTCACATAACGAAACACGACAGAAGGTAGGCTCTCCTAAACTGTAGGGTGAAGTCGGGGATTGTATCCTTAGGACTTGAGCTCCCAGTTCTGATGAGCGCTAACTCTTTTTCGGGGGGAGAATTAGGAACAGGTTACCAAATCCCTAAGCCGCCTAGATTTATATGAATCGTTCGGCACTCATGCCCGTGGGGCTGGCGACCCGCCCCCCCGACCGTGGGGATAATCAGATGTAGAATTATGTTTCTTCGTCGGACCACAGTGCCTTGAGTCAGACATATTAACCGCACTCAGGGCGACGATATCCCCTTGCTCTTGGACATTTGTCCGAAGCAGTATGGTGATACTACGGGTAATAGGTATTGGTACACACCAGACACATATTCCGCAGTCTGCCCAGCAGGCCTCAAGAAATCTTCCCTCGTATCCCTTTCCACAATATCCTTTTTTTTTTCTTTGACCCTTCTCCCCGCTAGGAAGAAAAAGAAAATAATAAAAGTGACCAGAAAGAAGAGCATGAAAGTTTGGCCGGCTAAGAAACTACAGCCGGACGTCCTGATATCGGTTTTTGATGCAAGGCACTTGCAGCCAAACACCCTCCGCGTTGTTTAAGCACGATGCTAAATCTATCAATACGTAGGTGTATGGGTCATGGGTTAAAACGCACCCATCAGTGTTCTATCCTATCTCCCACACCACCAGAACCCTTAAGCGGGGTGAAAACTAGCGGCTGAAGGAATGTTTACTCGAATTATGCTAGTGCTGGCTGGAAAAAAATGGAGTGTTCCCATTTCCTTTGTTTTCTTTTGCCTTCCTATCTATTAAACAGCGCTGCGCAGCTGCCGCAGTTCTGAATAGAGGCCTATTAGCGTTAGAAATTCGGTTGCGCAAACGCTTCCACTATTGTGGAAGATTTCACTGGAATGCTAATTTTCACATCTCTTACTTTTAGCAGCACCAACACTACCGTAGTGTAAAGTTGATCCAGAGGACTCATGACGACGGGGCAATTGTGCGGGAAGCACAATTCATTATTCATTACCATACCATAACAGGGCACGGCTTAGGAGCTGCGACCAGTCCCGCTATCACTTGATTCAGTTCACGCATGGCAAGAGGAAAAAGAAAATGGAGGAAGAAAAAGAAAGCTCGCGCCAACCGTGACACAAGCCCACAAGCCAAGAACGGGCGCTTCAGTCACCAATGCGAGTGGAGCGTTCTTGGAGACCACTGCCAAGTCACATTCACCTGGTATCACTCGCCAACGGCCCCAGAACACACCACCTCACATCACTTCAAGGAATACTTACACACGTCTAGAATGGGCTCCCGCCGTGGAGGGTACTGCCAGTTCAATTCCTAAGAATCTGGTGTATTGTAACCTAGTCCATCCAGCACTGCTTAAGTCGGGCTAGTGGGAGGAGAACCCGCGCGCAAATATGATATCTTTGTGCCGGGACATTCTACCCGGCACCCGTACCCACATGGCTTCCCAACAACGGTCAAAGGGTATTTTTTCCAGGAATTTCGAATGGCATCCAAGGCGCAGCACGAACAGGCTTACCCTGGGGCCTGCCTGTTTTCTAGCACCCCTATAGAGCACCGGTAAGCGTTAGAGGGGGGGGGGGGGGGGGCAGGGCCTCGACATTGGTTAAGCCGTCACATTCTAAGGCGGTGTAGGTCAACAAGTATTGTTGTGCAGTCCTAGGATCTCCCGAAATGCTAGTGTGCAGAGCAACCTACCTAGCTTCGGGCAGCGGGGTCTGCAGATTTTGTGATGTCTGGTATTATGACGGCTCTGATTGAAGTTGAGTTACCACCAGAGATACCGTTACCACATCCAGTAATCTAATTTTGTCCGCTAAATCCAAGCTCTTGACTGACACACTTCCTCGCCTACACGTTATCCCGATTGTCTCTTGGTCGGGGCAGGGCGATGCATACCTTTACGTAGGATCAATTCCGTGCACCCCAATACCCCAGCTATCGGAGGAGGGAGTTCCTTCGGCCATCCCCTTGATGCACTGGATTATCACAGGACCTTATTCTCAGCCTATCGGACTTTGGTCTTCCACCACAACCTAGGATATCGCTCAATGCAAGCATTGTAATGCTTAGGATACCGTACTCCTTGTCTCCGGCCCCATCCGGCCAACCCCGCGTGCTTCCATCCCAGATCAGTATACGAATGCATGGCCATTTCTCCGCTCGAGCCCTCGTACTCGTACAGGTAAGGCTTTGAGGATGCAAGCAGCATGCCCAACGAATGGACATTGCAGAGTGGGGGCAGTGAGAGTGGCCAAAGCCTATCAGGAGGAGAAATGGCATGTTTCGGGTCGGCCCCCTAGATGAACGAGGGTTAGCGGAAACAAGTCTTTGGCGGCGATTGTAATTTGCTAATCCGCGACCCCATCTCTTCGATCAGGCGTTGGGTCGGGAAATTGACGGGAGCTATGCTCGAGTAGGGGAGATTTCTGGTGCTGAAGATGGCGGCGTGTAATGTGTCTGATGGCGTGGTTGGAGCGATATATCATTAGTTAACAGGGTAGCCATTGATCAGTGCAATGCAGAACAACACATTAGGATTCAATTGCTCGTCCGGCTAATTCTGAGAGTTACCGGAAAGTGGAAGATAGTGATACAATATAGGATCTGCAATGATAACGGTACTTAAAAGTTGCTCAAGGGAGCGGATGTAGAAAGTCTAACCGGGTGTTACTTGCTGTAGGCGCCAGGATCATTCCGAGATGTGTCGGGCTGGTACGGCAAGGCCCAATGACCACATGAAACCATTAACTTGCCTTCACATGGACGTGCTGCGCTACAGCAAAGGGGCAGCGTTCTTTGGAGCCTATTCTCACCCACCATTGCGGGAGTCAGCTATTGGGTGCTCGGAAAGCTGTGCCATCTATCATTATACGAAGGATCCTTTTTTAGGGGGGGGAACATGTAGGAGGCAATGGACGGTTACGTGGCATGATACCAGATTCCGCCAATACCGGCACCACCAAAACACTGTAATTTCGAGGACATGGACGCTGCGTTTAACGGAGTGCAGGGTGGGAAGACCTCGCGCCAAGGGATTGGGTTGCGCCCTGCCTGGAAATACAGTAAGAACCCTCTCGGCTCTGATTTGAGGCGGCGCTATCGTTGACGAGCCCAATATACGAATGAATGGGACTGGGCGGGGGATCTTAAAGTATTAACCTTGCTACATCAGCCATAGACCCTTAGACGCTCTACTCGAGTAACGGCCCCCAAGTTGCCGGCGCTGCACCGCTGAGCTCAATTTGGCCGAGCCAGCTCGGACAGGACAGGGTACCGTGGATACCTCTCCGCCAGCGTGAGTTAACGGTCAACGACCAAGGGGGCCCAGTACCGTACTCTCACGTCTGGGGCACTATAAGTAAGTTCCTCGCGGGCGGAGCAGCTCAGGAGCACAGGTGGGGGGGCCTGTAGCGTTTTCGGGTACCGGTATGAGGACGATGAATTGCGTGCGGGGTCAGGGAACGATGAGCGCGGTGGTTTACGATCGCTCCGCAAGACTACGGTAATTTCACAAGCTACATTCCCGGTGTGCCCGGTCCCATGGGTTCCCAGTCCTCCTGCATGATAATGTACTCGAGTACTCGTGCCAGTACAGCACTGTACGAGTACTCGGGCACAGGCACAAACAGCAGCAATCAAGGTAATGATATTCTGGGAACCAAGTAGTATGTTGCACTCGTACAGTGAAGCCGGTGGGGCCCTTGCCATTTCAAAAGGCTGCGGTAATCGAGTAAAAGCACCCAACCGTGCCGCGAGGAAGTGAACGCTCTCTGTGCTGCGTACGCAGGGACCTCACGCGCTGCCCATCATGCTGGAATCGGGGGGGGGGGGGGGTTGGACCGCATTTGCCCGATATGAGGGTATTTTTTTTCCCCGATGGCACCTGGGGTTTCGAAGGAACCTGGGAGCTCGGTTATCCCCGTGGAAATACCGGTATAATATCTCTCTGGAGAGGGGGGGAAGTGCTTGAGTACCGTACCGGTATGATACTGCGCTGTGGGTCGTCGAGGTGCGAATTGTTACCGTACTCGCGCATAACTTACGAGCAATCATTATTCTCGGCAACGTGGCCTGCGAATGGGCCCGCTCGATCCCCTCTTGCTTCAGGTAACGTGGCTTGGTTGGCCACAGTTAGGATTACTAAATTTACCATTCGCGGTGGGTCGGGGGAGGGCTGGCGTTGGCGGATCCGGGCCAATTACTCGAGCGATTCAATTTTGATTGTCAATGATGCCAACTGCGGTACGGTACCTGTACCCGAGAAGCTTCGCCCTACGGCAAACAGGTCGAGCGGGCAACCCTCTGGATCCCTAGTCCTCACCACGATCATCGAGAGAGAACGGGTACCGTAGAAAATGAAAGCGAGCAGGCTGTGGGGGATGTCACGCTGTATGCAAGTCATGCTGATTTGAGAACCGCGACTCTCCAAGTGCAGTTACCGGCACTGCTTGTTGAATCCCCGGCACCACGGCGAAGGCCGAACGAGCTAATACTTAGGGAAACTCGCCTAAAGCCTGCTTTGTCGCTTCCGGCTCGATGGGCTGGGACACGGCTTTCTCCGAGTGTGGGAGGGCGGCGGCCTTTATTATTATTATTATTATTATGCGCGATGGGTGGGTGCGGAGCTGTTGGGATGAGGTCCTGCCAGCCTCGGTTTCTTGCCGATGATAACTAACGGACTCGTACTGTACAAGTACGAGTAGCAGGGTCTGGCAGTCTTTGGTCTCTCGGAGGATAGAGCGCCCAAGCTGGCGCCATTGGTGGATTATGCCTAGGATACATGTGTGGCCTGCATCATTATGCATCTTCAGGTGGTGGCAGTGGGAAAAAGTGCTGCAGTGATCGCGGGCGCTTTCTGTCTGTGCCGTGGGAGCAACACCCCTCATCCCGTTACATTTTGGCCTCGGGTACTGCCTCTTTTCCAGCGAGGATGTGATACAACGAGTTATGGGTGTGCTTGGGTGTGGGAGGGGAGGAGATGGGCGGAGGGAGGGAATCACTTAACAAAAGGAGAGAGAGGGGGGGGGGGAGACACGCTCTCCCATTTCAAGGGAAAGTGATACATATATCCCCACCGGGATCGTAAAATTTCTCCTACCCTCGCTTCTGCTACCTCAATCCTCCAAGAAGCAAGCCTTGGGCGCAGATATATATCCAATACTCAATACTTTTACACTTGTCTGCAGTAATCAACCCCCTCCCACAGCCACCGGTTCCAAGGCTGGTCACTTCTCTTCCCGAAAGGTCGAAGCCCAGCCCAAGAGGAAAGATAATCCACACATTGCCAGGGTCTCAGAGCGCAAAATTGCCGGTGATCGAATCGGTGATCAATAGAAGCAGCTGCAGGGGATATTGATCCCGTCGGCTAGGCCTTGCTTTCAGGTCGAGTTAGCATTATATCACCACCCTCTGACTCTCTTCCTCTCCCTCTTCCCCTCTCTCCCTCTCCAGCTCTCCCTCTCTCCACCACCACCCGGCACTACAGTCCCTGGCACGATCATAGCAACCATCCCTCTATTCGTCGCGTAAGGAACCAAACAGCCTCCATCCTCTGGTTTATCCCGACACCCCTGAGAATCGATTACCGGTAAGTCCAGGCTCTTTTATTCATGTTGCATTTCCGTTCCGCTTCTTTCCTTTTGGGATACGGGGAGATGCCCGGGTCCAGTTCATGTTTGCATTACGAGGATGATGTGGATGCGGGCCCGTTGCAAGGGAGGGATGGCTCAATTACCGCATTGCGATGGAGGGATATAAGATTGATCGCTGTGCTGGGTGTGGTGTTTTCCGGGTTGCGGATATTGCGGATTATGGAGGGCGGGCGCGGGGGAGGGGGGGAGGGTGGTGGTGGTAGTGGTGGTGGGCGTTATGAAATGTGGATTTCCGGGATATGCCCCATCGGCGTTATCGGTATCCCTGTCGAAAACGCGACACCCAGCACAATGGATCACTGAGAATATTCCTCCTCTCTGTTCCTATCCTTCCTCCTCCTTTCCCTTCTTCAGCCGTAGCACAGCTCGCAAGAGCTGGGGAACAACGCTCCTTCTCCCAATCGCATCACCCCCTTTTTATGCATTTCTACCCGTACCCTTCTCCTTCTCCACGGCTAGCGGTTCCCCCTCATCCACCCCACCCTTGCGGCTAGTCTCCATCCAATCAATTGTTGCACCAAAGCACTGTACCCATTCGTCGCAGCCAATCAAGGATGCCCGGATGGTGGCAGGAGCTCACGGCCGGATGATGGGAACCATGTGGCCTCTCATGAGCCGGCGGGAGAGGATTTAAGTCATCTACCTGTACCCTTCCCATGGGGTCTCCTGAATCGTTATTTCTGTTGACCTCTGCTCGGTTGCCTGACCTGTGTTTGTCGTTGTATTGGGAAGAATTCTCGGTTACTGACCATCCTCTCACGCAGGCGCCGCCGCAAGCAACGCTTTCTTTCTAGGCACCACACCACCCCCATCCACCATGACTGTGGGTGCTGAGAACGCTGCGAACGACAGGAAGGTCCCTAAGATCTCAATGGCAAATTATGCTGAGCGCAAGGATGAGATCGCGAGAGAGATAATCCATGCTGCGGAAAACAACGGATTCTTCATCCTGGAGAATCAAGAGTCTCCCTCGGTTGCTGAGATTGAGGAGATGTTTGCTCTTTCGTGAGTCGTGCATGCTGACCCCCCGGAACAAAGGACCCCCTTCTGATTGCAACTGGAGTAGGGAGCGATTTTTCCACCTCCCACAAACGACAAAATCCAAGACACCGTTTATCAAGGCCGAGAATACCGGTTGGGAAACCTGTTCCCAGATACGCCCATCCACCGGACTGCCCGATCAGAAGGAATCGCTTCAGCTCCAGTATCACCGTCGAGGCGACAGGACGTGGCCACAAGAGCCATCAATCCCCGAACTCGCTCAAACCGTCACCTCGTTCATGGAGAAGACCCACTCGCTTTCCATGAACGTCCTCAGCGTTTTTGCCCTCGCCCTGGGCTTTCCGGAAGACTTCTTCGTTAAGGCTCACGACGTCAGTCGCCCGGATGCCCAGTCAACACTGCGTCTACTCCATTATCACGACATCACCGGAACCCAATACCCGTCGAACTACTGGCGCGCGGGGGCCCACACCGACTATGACTGCTTAACCATGCTATTTCAAAAGACTGGCGAGGACGGGCTGGAGATTTGCCCCGGGAGGGAGGCCCACACAAGCTTCGGAACGGGAGATCACTGGACCCCAGTCAAAGCCAAGACCGGCGAGATTGTGTGCAACATAGGGGATATGTTGATGGCCTGGAGCGACGATAGGTTCAAGAGTTTGTATCACAGGGTTCGGTGTCCCGGTCTGAGTGAACGGCAGACGTCGAGATATAGCATTGCGTTAGTGTCCCTCTCTGTATTCACCAGAGAAGTAATTGACATTGGAATACAGTTACTTCAACCAAGCGAATAAGAACGTGGAGATCAAGGGTCCATTGGGTAAATACCCGGTCATGACTGCGCACAAATACATTCTCGATGCAATTAAGCGCAATTACGGCGAATTTGAAAGGACGAACGCCCTCGCCGCAACCTAGCCTAACATTGCCCTTATCTTTCCCCTTTTTCTTTTCTTAAACTCAATTTACTTTCGCTATAGGTTACTGGGTATTCTTATAATCGGTGTCGTGGACGGGTTACTTCCATGCATGGTCAAAGGATCGGGGTGTTGCTCGGATTAACATTTTTCATCTTTTTTCATTTTTTTCATCAGCGTCTGCTTTTTTTTCTTTTCTTTTTTTCCCTTGTGCGCTCGGTGCATGGAGTGAGACTGAGGTTATGCTTTTTTTAACGGGAATTCCCGGAGTCTGGTGGGAGGATGCTCAGGGGGTTCATGCGTCGCTTATCTTAAATTATCCCGACGGGAATGAACGATTTGTAATTGGATTTGTCGGAAGTATTACGGTACTTCAATATGATGGATGGTGGGAATATGTTGGGGGCTACCTGCCGTGCCACAAGATTTAGGAAATGACGAGGGTCATATGTTGATATTTAGACACCGCTCATTGGTATAAGTAGAACGGTCTTGGGAGCATGTATCGAGCAAACAGGAATCATTCTCTTGACCTTTGATCCACCCTGTTCCGCCTGTCTTCTGTCTTTAACGTCTGGCTCCTCCTGTGTGGCCCCCGACACGAATTGACAGGAGTTTGGTGAGTGAGAAGTTGTGATTTTTTTTGCCGGATGGTTTTAATCTGTTTGGTATCCTTACATGATCCCATGAGAACGAATCGCTAATTATTACCTATTGGCTAGGGAATTCCAATATGCGAGGGGGGATTGGACATGGTCGGGCTCCGTCCTCCCTAAAAAAAAACCGGGGCTAATGGTCGCTCGTCGAGAGCACTGCCTGGGGCGATTACTTGTACAGGCTACCTACAACCGGCATCTCAGCACGTGCGAGGTGCATGCTGCGATACAAATATCCCAGTGGACCAATCCTTCCACAAGATGTATGATACCTCAGAAAAAAACTCGGTCCAGAAACGGCCCAACTTTTCCAAACTTTCCGGGGAAAGTGTCAGCCACCACCGACTGATACCTAATAGAGAAAGAATCATGATGATAGTGGTAGTGGGGTGCTAGGAAAAGAGAAGGAAAAGAGAAGGAAAAAAGAAGAAAAAAGAGCACAAGATTTAGCGGGCGGGTAACGCCCAATTCGTCGGATCATTCGACTTCCTGAGAGCGGAGTGTACTCGAGTACAGTGCCGTTCTATGAATACCGGTGTCCCAGTATCGCGGGGCTCGCGATGTCGAGCCGTGGGGGGATGGTACTGTACTGCTGACATTTGCACCGTACCGCACTGGGAGTCTGTTCGGCGCAAATTGCCGGTATGATACAAGTATGTATGAAACAGTGGGCTCGGTGTGTGTGCGGTGGGGGGGGGGGAGGGGGCTATATCGGACTGTCGCGGGGTACTGTGTCCGTCATAACTCAGCCTTGGGCCGCAAGTCGAGTATGATAATATAATACGGTTATTTGGTCCACAGGTTTTTCATGCGCGTTGAGGTTTCTGTCTGTTTTTTTCTTTTCTTTTCTGCGGGGTGGGGGATTGGTTATGCCCCGTTGCCTATATGCTTCCCGCTAACGGAGGTGTGATCGGTGGTGATGCTCGGGTCTGGAGGTTTACGGGGGAACTGGGTGCGGAGGGGGGGGGGGGGGGGTGTATGTTATCATACAATGCAAGTGTCGTAAATTTACAACGGGAGAAATGGAAAAAAAGGGTTCTCAAGCATCATCCCCCCCCCCCATTCGAGTTACGGATTGTGTATCGTTGGATGGACTCTGTCAGAGTGGGGTCAGCATGTCTGGACCGGAGATGGTATCGTTACTAATCGACTTGAAATTTTGCGGATGGAGGGACATCCTAGGAGGTTTTTTTTTTTTTTTGTAGACTTGGATTATTGTCGTTGCGATATAGTGGAATTATACTGGATCTATATACAAACCTGATATACACATTTACCAAGGGAATGATTTTTCACGGGACGGCACGTCGCAATAGAATAGGTGTCAGGTCTCAACATCCTCGTCGAGGAATAAGAACTGATATGTCCAGAACTCTGGCTCTGGAGTTTGCGTATCAATTGGTATCATATGGGTGTTGATATGCGAAAACTGGGCAGACACCTTTAACCTGGTTTTGAGTTATAACACTTTGAAGTTTGCATAACAACCACAACAATTTTGGATCTGATGAATTATAAAGCTTATAAAGAGTCCAATTTAACTGACAAATATTTTTTAAGCTCTTCAGATGATGCTCTTTATGTTAAAGAAGTATGATATGCATTAAAGGAAATTTGTTGCAGTTGTAGGTTTGCCCAGTTTTCGCATATCAGCACCCATATGATACATGTTTCTAGAACCCTCGAACCTTCCGGGGACAAAAAGGGGGGAGGTATGATATATACTTCAGGTTTTTCAGAAATGTAGGGTTCAAGAGTATGGCCATCTTCTAGAAATCTTTTTTTTTTTTCTGGAGTGAGAATATGGCGGGATCATTTCTAATCCCTGGATGAAACCCCCCCTGGTGGATATGGACTCCCCTGGATACTGTAAGAATCGGAATAATTGAGCTTTGCGCTGGGAGTCTGGAAGTCCCCCATGTGGATGGAGGGGATCACCCGGCGGGTAGAAAGGAAGAAAGAAAGTATGTATACCGTATTATCTCGAGTTATAGAGTTTTTTGCCAAGACCGGGCTTTGCCTAAGGTTGGTGGGTGCATGGAGTCTGAAATGGGCTCCTATTATGCCCCCAGGCAACATAGTAATATTGGATGGATTTTAGGTGTCTACAACAATGCGGCTGAGCCTGTTGTAATCACTATCTGCAAGGATTGGGATGGTGATCAAACAGGCTCCACGCACTTTAGCGTGAAGTACTGGACACCTAAAACCAACCCCTAGGTTACTATGTTGACCAAGGGTATTGTAGGGACCCATTTCAGACTCCACGCACCCACCAACCTTAAGCAGCGCCCGATCTTGGCAAAAAACCCTATAACACGAGAAAATACGGTATGTAAATGTCACTAGGCGAGGCGATTTCAACGTCCGGCGTAAGACTCACTTAGTCCGGTTCTGACAAGTAAGATACGATACCTTGCCGAAGGATCCCTAGCGGAATGTGCCAAGGTGAGAACATCGAATCCATAGTGTGATCGACGATAACTGGGGCGTTGGGAATTTGAGAAATTCGCTCTTTAGGGAGGTTGTCCAGTTCCTGCTCCTGTCTTTTTCAATTGTATTTTTGGAGTTTTTTTTTTTTGTACTTGTACAAGTACGGGTAGGGCAGACAGGAACTGGTCCGTTGGTTGGTTATTTCACCTCAAAGGGGGGAGGGGGCTATTCTCAAAGCCGGGAGTTGAAACTTTAGGGGTATGATAAATTTAGGAGATTTCTAGGGGGGTTGGGGATCCTGGAGAAATCATTTCTTCCTACACTTGAGGTATGATATCAGTGTTTTAAGATGGGGGCTTAACCGCTTCCCCCCCCGGGATACTGTATTGTAGGGTGTGAACTATATGACTTGGATAATAACCGGTAGAGGTAGAGTGAGAGGATTCACTTGGGCATTCTAGTTGCATCAGTTAAGGTAAGGATATACATAACATGGCAGGAGCATCCTGATTTTTCCATGGATCTCGGGAGGGGAAAAAACGGCCGGAGAATCTCCCCTGGAAATCAGCGAAAGTCCGGGATAAACGAAACCATCCACAGCTCTTCCCCCCCAAAACACAGGCAACTTCCATCATACCATCAGTCTGGAAGTACCTACCCCCAAATTTGACGAAACGGAAGCGGACAGAGATTTGTGTTGGAAGATCTTAGGGGGGGGGGGGGGGGCGTGGATCCCCCAGCGGTGTAAGAAGCGGGCTGGAATGGGCCTTGACTATCTCGGTCTAATAGCGAAGACACACATGGACCAAACATGATAAGAGCACCCTGATGCTTTTATGGACCACCACATGCTCCTCATCTCCCTTACACATATCCACGTCCCTCCACATGTATACCTGTGATAGTAGAGGAATGGGGAGACATTGTGTGAAGAAAATTCTCAGCAAATCGTGATAACTCCAGAACAAAAGAAACCGCCTCCAATATTACCGAAGGACCATGAGCAACCACACACCACTACCATTGATCCGGAGCTTCGACAACTTCAACTTCAACAATTTTAAAACCGGTGGCCGCAAAAAGAATTACAAAATGCTACTTTTCTCTCTCGGTGTCATGGACCCCCCAATTTGGTGGTCGTCAAATTGATTTCTATTGGCTAGAGATTACAATGTCCTCAACATGATTTCTACTCGTCCCTAGCGATAAGTACCCGAAAACAGGGGGGTGAAAAATGGGTTGGTGACAAGGGTATGTTGTACTAATGACTGGGTGGTAGTGCAAGGGATATGGGAGGTGCCACCACCGGGGGGTAAGAGAGCATGAAGACTAGAAAACCACTTAAATACACAGATTTAGAGAGTATTTGATAGGCCCAGATATGCACAAGGGGCAAGCATTTAGCGATAGCACAGGCTGAAAAAGGGCGGGAAATGGTGATGACAATAATGGATGATACACTGAACATGAGGTGGTATGGTTCCGGAGGACAAGAGTTGGGACCAGTTTTCTCACGAAAGCTGTTACAGTTATGGATACAACGGCAACTGTAATGCAGATATTAATAGGTAGGGTAATTAAAGAAACTGGTTTTTTCCCTGTGTTTTAGATTTTTCTTGGCAAAATAAAACATGTTACAAGAAGCGTAAACATAAGCATTACGGTTGCCGTTGCATCCATAACTGTCACACTTTTCGTGAGAAAAGTGGTCCTAACTCTTGTCTTCCGGAACTATAGCATACCAATTTTCAACAGTGTAGATGCTAGTGTATGTTGGAAACCCACTAAGTTTTAAGTGATTTATAACCAGTATATGCAGGTATGGGCATTAGTGATCGGTCAGACAAGTGTTGTGTGTCCTGGTATATATTACCATCTTAGGTAAAAAATATTTTAATTTAGTAGGAATGATTCCAAGAGGAGCAATAGGTTTTGACATCAAAACCCCCTATCTGGCTGATCACTAACATCCATACTCAAGCAAACCTTAGGATGTGAGGAGTAAGTCATATAATATGAACCTTAAAGTAGTTTTAGAGCCATATTGACTGAGTACTCGGAAATATTGATTGTTTAGAGGAAGAACTGTGTTAAGAATTCTACTAGGCATGGGAGTGTGACAGATAATGACTCTTGCTTTGTGGTAAGATAATAGTTCTTAGGCCATTGCCTTTTATCTCTTTTAAGTCCTCATTTAGGACTTAGGCGATTGTCATGAGAGGAGAGACAATTCTTGGATTTCTTAAGATAAATCTTAAAGAGTGTAAAAGGGAGTTTTATTCATAAAATAATAAGTGTATAAAATAACTTAGAAGAATATGTAAAGAGCTCATACTCAGGGTCCTGTTGACCCTTTATATAGTTGCTCTTCACCTAGCATGACTTATACTTAGTATCATACAAACCTTGTAACTCATAACTATGAGTTATATGAAATCCATCAGCGGACTCCTATAAGTCACTGCACAACATACCCTAAACCAATTAAAACTTAATAACCAAGTTAGGTGTACAACTTGTATTACCTGAGTGAAACCTATGCCTTATAATTTGAGTCATGTACAAAAATTATAGCATCCTGTGACTTACAACTGTGAGTCATAAACAGGTAAACATAATAAACTATGATGTACTAGAGTGTGTCATGTGAAATTCCAACATAACTATAGTTCAGAATCCTGAGCTATGTGAAATCTGCTTTGCTTAGTCATAGTTTGTAACAAACTGTAATTAATTTCCAATATATTTACTTTACAAGTAAAATAAATCATCTATTATAGAAGAGACAATTTCTGTAATTTAGATAATTTTTTATATTATGCTCATCATGTCTGCTACCTCTGAGTTGACTATCATGGCTCATTTACAAGCTCATTTACAGGCCCCCTCTCCTGAGCCCCTCCACCTCTTTCCTGAGCTCCTCAATCCTTTTTCTGAGTCCTCTAAAGCCAGCTCCCTTCCAAAAACTCCAAAAACAAAAATTACTCTTTCCCTTCAATCTA